TGACTACAGTGATTAAGTGGGTTAATGTCATCCAAGTTTATAAACAAGGAAACTGAGAATCAGAAAATACAGTATCTCAGCCAAAACACCCAGAAAGTAAAATGTGGACTGGCTTAGAACTCAGCTATTCTGTGTCTAAGCAAGGGTTCTTGCACACCCTGCAAAAAGACAAGCAAATAAATCTCATTTTTGTTTCCAAGGCTTAAAAAACAATATTGACCATATATCAGCAAAGATGAATCCTGTGTGTACTAAGTAGTTTTGATTATGGTGTTGTTACTAATTGGTTCCTAAATGCACTACTTTTGGCTTTATATTAAGCTTCATTTTAAATTGAATTTGCAAGAATTATCATGTGATTGATGTCCACTAACATTTTGGTGATAATGAACTCTTTGTACATTGATCTGGAATAGTGCTAACATGTTCCTTCTTCTTAGCCTATAATTTATCTTTTTAATGAATTCCTAATAGAATTTAACATTAGCTTTTCACAATATCAAAATTAAGCAGCCATGCCCTTCTTCCTTCATTTAAATAAAATTTTCAAATAAAAAATTAATAACTTTTTTGTTATAGAAAAGCAATTTTAAAATTATCCATAGAGCCAGGATTTTCAGTGTTGAGAGAGAAGGTTACAATACAAGTAAGCAAGAAGAAGGAGCTATAGTGATCTGTGTGGCAACAGATTAGAGTTGAAGGCATCAGTATAAATACATATTGATATTTACTTTACTATAAACTCAGATTTAGTTCAGGATAGTCATAAAATAACTACTTGTAAAGTAAGCATGTACACAGAGTTCTACACACCCAGCTTTTAGCTGAGAGAGATTACAAGCAAAAGGATATAATGGCACCAAACACATCTAGCCCTCAGATATGTTTCTAATACTGTTCTCAAAACATCCAGGACTCCTTGGAGATATGCTGATTAAAGGAAAGGTCCTGGAAAGACACAAGATGAATACCTTGCAACACTAAAAAGTAATACTTTTAAAAAAGAGAGAAAAATACCCCAGAATAATACAGCCTGTCAAAGCAACACAGGAATCAACCAAAAGAGCTCCCCGTGGGGCTATAGTTGAAATAATTTGAGCAACAACATAGCACTGAATTATAAACCAAAGTAAAAGAAGAAATACACAAAAGGCTCTATGAATCTTTATCAAAATAAATAAAAGAATGAATGAATAGAATAGACAAATAGCCTGTGCAGAGTTCCAAATAACTGAGATACACTTCAGCCTCTAGGAGGAAGGGGGTGGAATCTAGCTGCCCACATCTTCAGTAGAAACTGCTCACTGTAACTTCCCTCCAAAGTAACAGCATGAAAGAAAGTAAAGAATCAACCTACAATGAAGAAAGCCTGACCTAAGGAACGCTGCTTCAGGCAGGTGATCAAGTTCATAGGAACCACAGTAAGACACATGGATAGAGTATACCCCTGAGGTGATTTGATGAAAATGGTACTTCATGTTCTTCCTCCTAAAATTTCTAATCCCAGTATAATCATGAGGGAGATACCAGATAATTCCCACTTATGGAAAATTCTGCAAAATATCTGATTAGCAGGCCTCAAAGCTGTCAAGGTAATCAAAACCTAGGGAAGTCTGAGAAACTGTCACAGCCTGAATAGGCCTAAGGAAACATCACAACTAAATATAATGTAGTATCCTGGATGGACTCCTGGAATAAATAAAGGGCACAAAGTTGGTAAGTAGTATATGCTTATAATCCCAGTGACTCTGGAGGCTGAGGCAAGAAGATTTCAAGTTCAAGGTCGGCCCCAGCACCTTAATGAGAACCTAAGCAGCTTAGCAACACCCCGTCTCAAAATAAAACATAAAAAGTTCTAGGGATGTAGCTCAGGGTAAAGGACCCCTAAATTCATCCCTAGTGAAACACACACACACACACACACACACACAGAGAAAAGAAAAGGACATGAGATAGAAACTAAGAAAATCTGAATACATTATGAACTTCATTTCATAATAATGTATCAATATTGTTTCATTAATTATAATAAATATACCATATTAATGAATGATATTAACAGGGGAAACTGGATACAGTTATAAAAGAACTTTCTGTACCACCTGCACATTTTCTATAACTAAAACTAAAAGTGTTCTAAAACAAAAGAGTTTTTATAAATCTTTTTTATTAGATGATGGTATCATCATCTAATAATAAACAGAAACATCTTAATACAAACTTCATCTTTTTCTCTATGTATACTTTTATTTTTCAATGTAGTTTCATACTGTATATAATTTTTCACTTAACATTTAACAAATGTATTTCCATGCATTATGATTCTAAAACATAATTTGTGTTTACCTCCTAGTAGTTAATCTCAGGAACACACCATACATTATTTAGTCAATTATATTTTGGTTTCTTTGTTCTTCCCTAATTCTATTGAATTTATTGGAGGAGGAAGCAAGGGAAATGAAAAGAGTAATAAAAGATGACATCATTCGGACATTAGTTTATTGGCAAGATGCAAGGAGTAGGCCTATCCATTGCTACCAAAGGAAACACATGGGCTGAGAAAGAAAACACCCATGTACCATCTCAGCTTCACAAATAACTGGGTGTGACCTTGAAATCAATCTCTACAATGCTTAGTGTCCTTATTTATAAAATGGACTGAAAGGCACTGGATAATTTATTCAACAGTGTCCATTCCTAAAATTTCTTGCAGCATATTTTGTAAAAAGACAATTTCTTAGAAAATTTGATATAAAAGATATGGCCAAGTATGCTTAATGTAATACAGAGGCTGCAGAAAATGGATAACAGATAACACTTCGTCTGGGCTGTATACCCAAAAGTTTCTGATCATGTGGCACTACTGGAACACATTTTCTGAAATTATATGAAAATCTAACAGTTGGATACAAAGGGAACATCGTATTAATGGAGAAAGACTACTGTATGAATGTTGCAAGGACACTGTGTTCATCTGAACACAAGGAGAGACCGTCTAACAATTGAGCGGGCTTCCTAGAAAAATTGCTGAGTTCTTAGATGTGGAAAATGTTGTTGCATTGGTGGATGCAGAACCGTCAAGGATATTACAAAGCTATTCCTGCACTCAGTTACAATTCAAATTGAATGGTCACCAAGGTCACTTTCAATTTTAAAAGGCTAGAAATTTTTCTGTAATCTTATTTATGACACCATCCTTTGGACTCTTGTCCTTAAGCAGCATTCCTATTTCTGAGTTCTCTGCTGTCTCACTGATTTCTTAACTGAAGAATCAATTCCACCACAAAAAAATAAAAGGCATCGATTTAGAGGATGAGTTCTTCAGCTTGTTCGTATGCATAGATGGGTACCTTTCTAAGCATCTAATGAAAAATTGGTCCTTTTGCTCTTAAAAAAGTGCATAAAACATCTCTCCAAATTCCATCTTCTCTATGAAGTCACTCCAAAGAGAAGGGAAACTTTGAAAAGCCGATCTCCAATTCACAAACTTCTGAATTTGTCCTCAAGATTTCTTCATATTTTTTTCTACAACATAACTTGTGAATGCCCCAATAAATAAAAAATAAATAAATAAAAATTATATACACGGATACTAATGTTTGAAATTGATCTGATCTGAAGGAAAGAGTTCCTCACCTTCACACTTTAAGGTGCTCAGGGAGACATTGTGGGTGGGTTTTTTCACCCCCTCTATGGTGAAGGAGACTCATTGTTTTCCACATGGTCTATAGTGTGGTTACCTGTTTTCTACCTAGCTCTCTTTCTTGGGCAAAACTACCTGACCTGTTTGTTTCTTGAATTCCACTCAGGAGAAAATGAATCTAAACTACATAGCTTGAAACAGTTCCAATGGTAGGGAAACTTGGGCGAGGGGCTTAAAACCAACATTAAGAACTTTCTGTTCTTAAGCCTCAAGAGTAGAGTAAGTGACTGTATAAGAAACCACATTTGCCTGTAGATCTTCACTTTGAGAAAATACACACACGCACACGCACACACACGCACACACAGACAGACACTCTAGAGCACAAGACACTTCTATTGGCAAATGCCTCCTCTCTAACATCCAAAGGAAGGAAGGCATCCTGAAAGTCCCAACGCAGCACAGAGGATAAAGGGGGTCTCTGGCAGCCCCCAGCTGCAGTAGACTGGTGGAATGGTATTGAAAGAAAATCCCTTGCATGCATTGTGGGATGTTAAAATTGCAGCATCATCCTCTACTGCTCCTTTTCTTTGGCCAAAAGGCAAAATTCGAGGGCACAAGGAAACTGGTGGGGCAAGAAGGCTGCCTCCTCAAGCCCTGGAGCTCCCTCCCTCCACGCCCCACTCCTGCTTAGATTCTAATTGCCCCTGTTCCGATGGGCCAGCAGCACCTTCGCCCATTTCCTCTTCCATTCACTCCAGCGGAGAAGGGAGAGGGAAAACAAAACTCTAAAAATAACTGTCAGCATCTTAAAAAAAGAAAAGCTTAGCTGCCCCCCCTCCCCATCTACTCCCGCCCTTCTCTTCTCCCTCCCCCCCCCCCCCCCCCCCCGCGGGCATGTCTGCTTCTTACAACAACACCGAGGCACATGGTTCCAGTTAGGCACCGAACCCCATCAGGACAGAGAGGAAATCCACATCTGTGGGACGCTCCGCACAGAACCACCTCCAGCGAGGGAGGCCTGGGGACTGCAGCACCGAGATGAAGGGCTAGACCAAGGGAACGCTGCTCATGCGGTGAGAGGCAGCGCGGGAGGCGGCGAGGGCGCGGGGAGGCCGGGGAGGCCGGGGAGGGGGTGGGCCCCGCCGCGCCCCCGCAGCGCCCGCCGCCCGCCCCCACGCGCGCTGTCGATATTTGCCCGCCTTGCTGCAACTTGCTGCAGTGTTTGAAAGAGTAGTAGGAGCGCATGGAGGTGGGGCCGGGGAAAGACCAGGCGGAGCGGTTAGGGGGGTGAGCGCAGAGGGGGTGGGGAGGCGGTGGGAAGGGGGGTGGCCCCGAGGGGATGGGATGGGATGGGATGGGGGAGAGCGGGATAGCCCGGCGCTTACACGTGTCACATGTGCTTTTTAAGACGGCCGGGAGTGCCTGCGAGCTGGATCTGGTGGAGGATGCTGCGGCAGGTGCTTCGCAGAGGGCTCCAGTCGTTCTGCCACAGGCTGGGCTTGTGCGTGAGCCGGCACCCGGTCTTTTTCCTCACCGTGCCCGCAGTCCTGACCATCACCTTCGGCCTCAGCGCGCTCAACCGCTTCCAGCCCGAGGGCGACCTGGAGCGCCTGGTCGCTCCCAGCCACAGCCTGGCCAAGATCGAGCGCAGCCTGGCCAGCAGCCTTTTCCCCCTGGACCAGTCCAAAAGCCAGCTCTATTCGGACTTACACACCCCTGGGAGGTATGGTAGGGTGATCCTCCTCTCCCCACCCGGGGACAATATTTTGCTTCAGGCTGAGGGGATCCTGCAGACCCACCGAGCCGTGCTGGAAATGAAGGTGAACCACAAGGGCTATAATTATACTTTTTCCCATCTGTGTGTGTTGAGAAATCAGGATAAGAAATGCGTGCTGGATGATATTATTTCAGTGCTAGAGGATCTCAGGCAGGCTGCCGTCTCCAATAAGACAACAGCCAGGGTGCAAGTGAGGTATCCCAACACTAAATTAAAGGTATGCTCCTCCTGCATGCTTCTGCCAATTAAAGAGGCAGCACTTCATTTCTTGCCCTAAACAAGCAAAGAAAATGCAGAGGTCTCATCCTTAAGACTCAGAAGCTGATGCTTCTTTCATTTCGGGGTGGTGGTGGGGGAGATGGGTAACTGAGAGAAGAAAACAGGCAATGAATGGTACAACTAGATACTAAGAAATTCAAAGCCAAATCAAACAAATGCCAAAAAAAAAAAAAAAAGAAAGAAAGAAAGAAAAAAGAACAAAAAAAGAAAAAAAGTTTCTGAGACCCTGCAATTACATCTTTGTTCAGGGTTAATAAATCAGTGAATGGAAGGGGGAGGGGGAATCCTGATCAATTGGGGGATTTCTTTTCATTATGGGGCTCAATGTATTTCTTATTACTGATTACACATCCACCTGGTGCCATATCCACCTGACATCTTCAGCCTGGCTTGATTTTGACATGTATGGAGTTTGTATTTTGGTGCCCTGTGAGCATGTGTCTGAGAGCAGTGGGTTATGGATCTAGTAAGGCTTCCAGGAATTGTGCTGTGTGTGTATGTGTGTGTGTGTTTGAATAGCAAAAGAAGCAGAAAAATTCAATATATATAAAATAGGGATGTACACCTAACTGATGACTTCATTTACCTAGTCCTGCTTTATTCCTTTCCCATTAAAAAAAAATCCAAACCAAAGCATGGTTATTATAACAGCCCTATAACAAATGGAAAGGAAAAATTCTACAATCAGCAAAAATTACAAAAAGCATTATTTCAGCATTAAATATACCGTGTTCTTTGGACTCTCAATTCAAATTTTATTGCTCACATGAGGTTTCTAAACTCATTCTACACTGTCAGGACTGAGCTGCTGCAGGCAATGAGGCATGCAGTCTCCAGGTGACTGAAGTTTCAGGGACAAATGTGACTTCTAGAGGAGTCACTGCACCATTCATGTGCTTGACCCTGTGCATACTCAGAAGATGCACAATCAAGAACTCCCAAGACAGGTGTTCCCTAAGAGGAAAGAATGTGCTTTCTGCTAATGTGTATGAGGATGTGTGCATGCTTCCATGGAGAAAATGGAATAGGAAGGCCCCCCCAGCTTCAGTAAATGAACAGCCTAACATAGAAAATCATTAATATACTTATTAATTTGTTTAATATAGTTAGCTTGTGTGTACAGTTAAAAATAACTTTCTCAGGATTGTTGAGTGAAAAATATCCTCCTTTTCCTGAATAAAGGAGGGCTTAGTTAGGGATTCCTCAGGAAACCTCATAACTTGCCTCCTTTTAACATGGCATCTTGTTTGAATGGATCCAGGGGATGAGAAGGATCTCAGTTTTACAAAGCTGAGCAGTCCCTTGAGGTTTAGTGAAACTTGGCAGATGATTCATTTGCTTTAAATCTAAGTAGAGGGTTTGCCTACTTCATACTTATTGATGGGAGCATGTTGGGTATGTGTGGTTGGGCAGCATGCTTTTCCTTTCCTGAATCTTTTGCCATCACCATTATTGCTTGCTAAAGAAAAGATGTGGTGGAGAGGTAATTTTCCTAGCCTATTTTAACTGAGTTCTTCCTTATGCCAGTCATCTGGAGTAAAGAAAAATTTGCAACTGTGTCATATTTAAATTTCAATTTGTCTTTCCTATTGAGTCAATTTTGTAGTTTATTAATATGTGGTATTATTAGGGTCTCAATTGCCTCTATTAAGCAGTGAGAAAAGGTGAAAAGACTGTGACCAATCGGCAACTATGGATAATTTGTTTATCTGGCAATATCATTTTGACATTTATAATACAAAACCCTTGGGGGTAGTTATTTTACTTATTTAGTGATAATTGGTTGTGCTCATATGGTTTATTACGTGCTCTTCAAGGCACATGAGAAAAACTTAGGGCAAGAAAAGCAAGCTTCTTACCTTTGGGGGTTTAAAAGTAATAGATGCCAGCATCCTCACCCAGAGTTACCTGTTAGTGGGGACTCTACAATCATTGGGTACACCACTGAGCTGACATGATACTAGGCCCATAATAGGTATTCCATATAAACTTTTTGACTGATTGTTTGCTTTATATACATATGGATAGTAGTCAGTAGGTAATCATAAAGAAATGGAGTAATTGATTACAAAGAATAATATAGTAATAGTATAATTACTTTATTAAACATAAAATGAACAGAAGGATAAAAGTCCTTATTATGTTGTATTCTAATATCAGTGTTTCCTCAAATGTGTTGGTTTGACTCTGCATACATGTCATCAGTGGGAGTCCTTAAGCTGTACTTGGGTCAATGAGCCCTTTGAGATCTTCTGAGAGCAATGGGCTCTCTCAAGACCAGACAATCTCACACATGCTCATGCAGTATATATATATATAAAAACTCCTAAGTATCATGAATGACTAGAATTCTGTCAAAGGCACTTCAAGGGCTCCCAGGATCAGAACTCACTAGCACAGAGTGAAATGAGAGGCCTTTTAGTTTTATAAGTGTTATTTGGAAATGATTTAATTCATGTGTGGCAGTGGTTGTCAAAGTGTGTCTCTGTGATGCTGATGCATGCTAAAGTCGAATAACTACACCTATAGGGCATGCGAGACAAAATTTTATAAGTACATTTTCTAGCTCTCTAACTCATTTATTTCTCTACCATCCATGGGTCACTGCTCTTCCATACTCTGTTTAATATGGAAAATTTTAGTGCTGAAAAATTCTGTTGGTGGGCAGGGATCAGGAGTTGAGGGAAATTGTAGAATCAATATCGGTGTCCTGGATAATGTAAGAACTGAAAATCATTTGATATGATAGAAGCAGTAGGTCAGTGCTGGAAGATAGTCTGAAGATGTGTAAGCACTGATTGACAGAAAGAAGTAGTCAGAAATCTGAGTTATGACAATCAGTTCATCTTCTAAGTACTGTTAAGACATACATGTAGTCCTGAGCAGAGAAAGGTTTAGAACTTCTGATAAACATGATTATATTGACAAGGTGATCCAGCCAAGCAGGGACACAGAAAGCTGTCTTCTATGGAAATCAAATAGTGACTTAGATTGGAAAAAAAAAAAAAAAGCAGTTGGCATAGAATGCCATAGAAGAAATGAAGCACACTCAAGTTTTCCAAAGCTATAAAAAAAGTATGCCAAAATCTGAAATCAGTTCACCTAATAATAGTATTCTACAAACTGCTCTTCATTATAATCTTTATGTTAAATCTTTGATGAAGCCTAAGGGCCATGTCTTGTATTGCTTTTGTACCATCACTTCTCCCAATCCAATCTCTTTCATGTCTATGTAGATAGTGTCCATGACAAACACTCATTACCTAGTTTATTGGTTAATTTGTGCCTATATTCTGCAATATCCCAAAACTATGACTGCTTTTGAACCTCTGTGACATGCTTTTATTTTAAAGATTTCTGTACAGTGATTTTATAACCTCAATAACACACACACACACACACACACACACACACACACACAATAATGCAATATGGCCAGGTTGAATTTTTAAGTAAAACGCTTAATATAGTGTTGAAACTAACCTCTAATATTTAAAGTGGGATAGGATATTAATGCGGAACAGGTCCTCAAGATTGGTAAACAAGGACTGTTCTAGACACAAAGAAATGTTTTATCATTCAAGGAACTCAGGTGACTATGGGTAATATTACCCTGATTTTTAGGTAGGCATCATAACCTCACTTGTCAACCTAGTTAGTTCCATGAATGTAGCATTCTCATATGTCCAGTTCTTTATAGTGAAAGGCATAAGTAAAAATGAAACGGACAAATGTGGTCCTTGGAAATGGGTTTTTTGCTAGTCTAGATTCCAACCTCCTGGCAGACAGAGAAAAAAGAATGCAGTAGATTTGACTTCCCTGAAGTCACACTTCCTATTAAATTCCACCAGTAGACACATTCCACTAGTAGATACACCTCTGAACAGATGTTTAAGGGAAGTCACTGTGTACATCGGTGTACCATGTCTGAGAATAGGAACAAAAATAGAGTCCCTGCTTCTTAATAGAAGATGTTGTTTCTTTGGGTAAATTTTGGGTGCATCCTCAGTGTTTGGAAGATATTGCAGTGAATTGTTTGTTTCTAATTTCAATAGAAAGGCAATTGGCCAACATGAAAAAATCAGGACCTGCATTATTTTTAAAGACTTCCAAGGAAAGCTACTTTGTAAATTTCTTTCCTTAATTCATTCTAAAACCCTATGAGATATAGATATTAGGACCTTCTCTGATATTTTGATTTAAGCTTATCTTTCTGATTCTACCTCTTCATGGGGGAAAACATGTGACCTTATTAAATATTCAATTTGTATTCTAAGTGGTGTTTTATATATGGTATTTCATCTAATACTTAGAATTGTGAGTCAAGGGGAATATTTGTATTCTTGTTTTATAGGTAAAGACCAAGAAGGTTAAATGATTAACATGAGGTCCCCATACCAGTACATATTGGAGGTGGGATTTAAATTCAGTTCTGTCTGATACCAAGACTTATATTCTTAACAATACATTATTAGATCCCGTCACTTCCTGCACTAATCTACGTAATTAAAACCCTTTGTACTAAGAAGTTGGGCCATACTTGCAAAGCCATTTCAAATCCATGTTAAAAGACCACTTCTGATCTTCCACCCGCTTCCCTTGCTCACTCAGAGTGATGGGCTCCTAAGGAAGATGCCATGGCATGAAGCATCTAGTTGGGACAAATTCCTACCATCTGAGGAATGTGGGACCTGCCAAAAGAGTACAGCAAATACCTCATTGGCATATGATCTCACCTTTAATATAATTTCCCATCAACTCAGAACAAACTAGGGTAAGGCTTTAGGATCAGCTAAAAGTGATAAAGTTGTGATGTGGCCCAAGGTTTTGAGCCAGAAACTTTTGTGCCAAATAAGCTTGGTCATTTCTGGCTTAAATTGGCGTCAAGGGGGAATAAAAGATGGCATAGTGCAATGCACTTTAAATTGAGCAATATTC